GTAAAAAGCTCGCTTATCATTATTTGATATTTAATATTTAATTATTAATTATAAATTAATATATAAATTAAAATTAAATTTATATTATATAAATATGCTCGCGAGTTTAATCGAGTTCTAAGTTTGGGCTCGAGCTCGTTTAATAAATGAGCCTGAAACTAAGCTCGAGTTCGGCTCAGACTCGTTTAATTCGAGCTCGAGTCAAACTTTTAACAAGTCGATTACGAATAACTTACAAGTAGTTCAGTTCCTTTACACCCTAACCCGATGTATCTAAAATATGTTAAAGATTTGCCATATTTTCGATGTCATATGGAACTCGATGCTAACGACAAACAAATTTTGTCTTAGAAATGCTATATGTAGAATTTTGGTTAAAATGAGAAAATGTTATATGTATGTGGGAGTAGGGTTGTACTAGCCATTTTAAAACAGCGGATGCATTATTTTTTTGGTAGCACAATAGTTCATTTTCTAACAACGGATGCCTTTTTTTTAACATAATATATAGTTCCCTTTCTAACAGCAAACGTAAAAGTTTTTTGTGACACAACGCATCATAAGAAACCATAATAATATATAATTTATTCATTTATTAGATTAGCTGATTCATCACTTATTGGCTTTATCGTAAGGGATGTGATATTTTCATTTATCAATATAAAATATATATTTTACGGAGTTATATGGTGGCTGCGAAAATATTGTATTTTATATAGTTAATAGTTGTGAAACTCATGTATTACATGAGTTAAAATATATATATATATATATATATATATATATATATATATATATATATATATATATATATATATATATCATAATATTTGAGAACTTTGAATTTATAAGAAAATAAAAAAAAATCATAAACTATTATAATTTTATAATAATGTTTTTTATCTTTTAAATTTAAATAAATAAACTAAATTTTGGAAATTTTGAAATTAAAAAATAAGTTCATTAATGATTGATATCAATTTATTACTACATTTATTATAATTATTATATTAAAATATTGTGTAAAATTTAATAAAATAGGAAACTCATAAAATAACATGTGGAAAAAAATTAATTTAAAATAATCACAAAATAACATTTATCAAATTGAATGAAAGTGATAAGTGACAAAAAAACCTTTATTTATTAGAAAAGATGTGTATTAATCAATTTCTTACATGAAAATATCGGCTCTCGTATTATAATGGTACGTGTTATTTTAGGACATCCACAAGTTCTCTAATGATATATGGTTGAATTTAATTATTAAATGAATTAGATATTCCACACTATTCGACCATTTTATTGTTACTTTAATCAATTAAGTTCGGAGGGTTTTAAATTGCTCCTAAATTAACACAAATAACACATTAATCTGACTTGTGAAAACTTATATGAACCACAAAATTTATTAATGCCGTAAAATCCAAAACCCCAAACCAACGCATCTACTTTTACACGGTAATACGTTATAGTAACGTTGCACTTGTTTTTTTGTCAACCTTCAAGAATGGTTCCAGATCCAAGTAACACAAAGTGTCAAACGCCAAAGAATGTGGAGTACGTTTCGGGAAGTGCCAATCTCAAAAAAGTAATTTTAACTTGAATTTCACTCCACTTTCACATTAAATGACTAAGGTACCATTTGGCCGAAAAACTTAGCTTAAAAATCGGGTGGAACAAAGCCGGACTAAAATGGACAAATAATTTATATAACGTTTGGTAAGATTCAACATAACTGAACAAACTGTTTAAATCTTTTTCGAAGGGACAAAAAAAGATGTAAAAATAATCATACTATCTTTATGCAAAAATATTCTAATAACTCTATAGCATATATAACTTCAAAATAAACATTTTTATTAAAAAATTATTTAAAATTCTCATATTAAAACTAATTCTAATACCACATAATCAAAATTGCCTCAAAATGAACAAAGTTCTTAACCAAAATGGTTTCCAAAATCCTTAATTTTAAATTAAAAAAAAAAAAACAAACTTCAATTATCTTATTCCAATATAGTTTTCACAAAAAATGGTTTTGTAACTATGTTCAATCTATTCGACACCGGTAACAAATCCTAGATGTAGCATTCAATTTGGGTCTCAACCAAAAAAACCTACAATCTTCTATTTCCTTCATCGAACCCTTAGTTTCCGATGAAGAAGCTTCACGACAAGGCAGATGAAGAACAATGGCTGCCGTGGTCCAAGGCTGACGTATCTTTTGTTGTTGAACAGAAAACTAGATTTTTCTTTGTGTTTTTTGATGCCTGAGGTTTTGTCTATATCTTCCCCGAATTCACTTAATCCACGTTCGTCTACATAATCATTCCTTGCTCGACATCCATCTAATGCAAGTTTCTTGATATGTTTTTATTCGCCGACAATGCCATTCTTGATTGTTAGGCAGTGAGCATTCTCGAATACTTGGATGCCTTCTGATCCCCAAGGCCTTCAACGGTAAGGTTTTTTTTTTTTTTTTTTTTTTTTAATTTTTTTTTTTTAATTTTTTTTTTAAATTTTTGTTTATTTTAAATTTTTTTCCTGTATTTCAAAATCATATATTGTCGAAAATCGTAGATTACATGATTGTTAACGTATCCCTCAAGGAGAACGTTAAAAAGGGGAAGTCAAACTAATGCCGATCTTGGCTTGGGTAGAACCTCATTATGCCTAGTCTGAGGCCAAGGTTGGACCCTCGCCAACGTGGAGTCACTGGTATGGCCGTTAAGGGGCAGAACTGCGCCTTGCCCTCTTCTCCTAGAAATAACTTTCCGGCAAACGTTGGACCAATAAGAGAGTTCCACTTGTTCATGTAACGACATCCACAATGATTATAATATCAAAGATTCCCCTCTAGCCAATGAGGGGACGAGGCAAAAAAGGCGTGATAGAAGATCCGTCAATACGGATCTGCCACGTCGCACCTAACGAGGGAATGCTCAACAGAATCAGTTATGAGACACACGCCTCACAACCAGGTATAAAAGGACCCTTCTTCTTCATGAAGAGGGGGACGGAACTCTTTTTATTCAGTTTTACCCTTATTTCTCTCGAAATCCATTCTAACTTGATTGTCGGAGCTTCGTCCCAGAGATCCCTCCCAGACGTTGACTAACGATCCTCTTTTTCTTTTGTACTGTGATATCAGGAGGAGGAATCAACACAATTCTCACCCTTGGTTTTAATTCAACCCTCTTTGACATATCACAACATTTGACGCCATCCGAACGTATCCTCAGAACGATACATCCACGAAGCAAACCCAACAAGCAACGATGGCAAGTGAGATCCCAACGCGTCAGGAGCAGTAGAGAGAAGTCTGCTGCATCCAATGCAACTGTTAGATAGAGGGCAAACTTCTATCCAGGAAGAACACACTTCAAATCGCACACCGATCTCATAGACACCATCTAGCTCTGCAGCTCAAACAGCGGCAACCTACATAGCCAGTCTATGACGCCCAACAACTAACCTAACTCTACAAGTAGAAATCGTAACCACAACTCCACAGATTGTTGCAACGCAACAAACAGGGACACCTGTTTCACAGCAATAATTGTTTCCACACACTTCGGGTACCGGAACCTGGATCCCTCATAATATTCAATTGCAGTCACAATATTCCCCGATGGTCTATCTACACGCCACTGTGGTAGGCTTGCGGCATGTGTCGCTATTCGTACAACAACCAACGATCTTCAACCTATTTGCTCAACAAATCCTAGGTTCAGTCCCAAAAGTGTCTCAATCGTAAGCCACAGGAATACAAACCTCGATCAACCAGGGATCCAACTCCTATGGGTCTGGTGTTCATCTCACAGTAACACCCGAATTCAACCCCATCATGACGGTCGATCAACCATTCAATCCGTCCACGTAGCAGTATGCATGAGCGAACCCATACATGGTTCATTCGGCAGGGCAATACGCATTCCAGCAACTTGGATTGCAGCCAAACTTACAACAATATCAACCATACATCTCATCGGCGGCCATGCACAACCAGATGTACACGAGCCCCTACCAGACGCAACATCATATGGCCTATGGCGGTATGTCATACTCGTACATGGACAACCCTATGGAAAGTGCAAGCTCTAATTTCATCCATGAGCTACTCCTATACGAGATTCCACACACTGGAATGATACCGAACATGCTAAAGTACGACGATACTACTGATCCGGATGACCACATCGACAACTACGAGTGGATGATGACATCTCTTCAGATGGATCACCGCTTCACCTGCACCTATTTCCCCTGTACCCTAACAGGAAATATAGGCAAGTGGTTTAAGTCTCTAAGGCTAGGCAGTATCTCGAGTTTTTAATAACTGAAATACCTTTTTCTCAACAACTTCATGCAGTTGAGGAAGGGAAAAGGGGACACCAACTCTATGATGGCATGTAAGCAAAAAGGAGAGTCGGTTCGTGACTATTACGATCAATTCATGCTAGCTACCTTGAATGCCCCATTGCATGAAGAGTTCCTGGTGACGGGTGCCTTCGCCCAAGGTCTGCTTCCTGGACCCTTATCCAAGAAGATGCAATGGATAGTCCCTAAATCCAGGCACGAGCTCAAGTTCCGTGTCGAAAAATATTTGAGACAAATCGAAGGGGAAGAGTGAAAGGAGGCCAATCTATAAGTTATAGCCAAAACAGACATCAAACAGGAGGAAGCAACGTCCCGAGCGAGTTCAACCCAGTAAGAGAGGCAAGACGACAACCGACAAAGGCACAATCACCACTCCAGACACACATCGAGGAGGTATAGACCATTCAACAAAGATGACAACAAGAATGGCCATACAGATGTCCATGCAATCAACAAAGTTCCAGCAAAGGAGAGCAAGGATAAGACCAAGTTATGTGAATATCATAAGAGGAAAACTCATGATACCACCGAATGCACAATATTGAAGCGGGAGATCAACGAGAAACAACTAGTTGGAAACATAGTTAACATAGCAAAAGAGACCAGAGAAAAATTTGATGAGGGTAACCACCAACCTAAAACTCAAAAAGGATGGGGGAAAGGACCATGAAAGGAGGGCAAAGATTCTTACCATCATCGGGCCCCGCCCATGCAGCAATCGCCAGAGCCAGCACGTAGGCGCGAAGGTATACCATCAAAACATACTTAATATAGCCTTTTCAATGAGTGACCCCATGCCAGAGCATTGGGATCCGAATGACCCATTACACATCGTCGGTTTCATTAGCTAAATCGTGTTGAGCATGTGTAAATTGATAAAGGAAGCAAGGTCAACATGATCTATGAACACTGACTTCGGCGGTTACCAATTGAATGTAAAAAACACCTCCAGCCACCACACCGAGGCCCGCTAGTTGGGTTCACTGGTCACGTCATATGGCTAGTAGGAACAATTATGCCCCTGTTTACATTGGTCAGTCATGACGGGGAAAAACAGGTAACAAGGGTACTCGAGTTCTCGGTTGTTGATCTTCCGACTGAACACAATGTTCTACTAGGCCGGCCAACACTTTTTCAGTTACAAGCGATTCCGTCTACTCTCCATGGTATTCTCAAATTTTACACGAGTGACGGATCGGAAATGGTAGTAGCAACCAAGCCAGATAATAGAAACATTACCCAACGAGAAACAGAGCAAGAAACTCAATTGTGTTGAAGCGAAAGTTTCCAGAAGGTGGAACATCCACAGCAGAGGTCTGCAACAGCATAAATGCCGGTCCACGAGTCTAGGAAAAGGAGAAGAGATGTATTCAAATGGCTCGCAACATCTCTTCCACAGAAAGAAACAAGCGTTGGCCTAAAGATGATTCCGCTAGCGTAGAGAGAGAAGATCGCAAGGCAAGGAAGTGCCTACCCACGGGCAAGGGCACCAGTAGGGGTGTTCGTTTGGATGGATGGCCGAGCCATGCCCAGCCAAAGTGCGATTCGAGACTCGAAGCAGATCTTGGCTAATGTCAAATATGAACCAAAATTCGCTGGAATGAAGGAGCTAAGCACCAGTAACGACAAAGATAGAGGCCGAGTGCCACTCAATCCAACACGCAAGTTTTCCTATAGAAGAGAACCAACAAGGGCCTCTGATGAGCTAAACAACACCCCAAGTGACAGTGTGAAACGCAAGATTGATAGGCACAGAGAAAAACACGGATGGTATTCTCACCTGGCCAAGGGGAGGCGCTTCCCACAGTCGCAGCACACGCCGGGTCAAGAAGAGGGGAAAGTGCAAGCGCCTGCAGAGCATAAAAGACTGAAATTCATCTCTCACTTTGTCCCCCATGGTGGAAACAAAAGGAAACCCCAACCATATATATATATATATATATATATATATATATATATATATATATATATATATATATATATATATATATATATATATCCCCTAGCCGTTGCTTCCGCTGGATAAATGTAGGTGCGTATATACATATATATGATGTTTGCATATATATACTATCTACACAAAAGCTGGGCATGTAGAATATGATCCAGATGGAGTAAAAAATGGCGGCTGCTACCAAATTCCTTATCTTATTAACTATACTTTCGCTTTCTGTTCTTCTACCGGATGGATCTCCAATAAATGAAACCCAAAGTGCTCTTTCTTTGTCCAGTTTGCAAGATGATGGTGAATCCAAAGTCAAAGTATTTTTCGTAACCATTCCTTCGTCAAAAAGAAAATATGCTTCCTTATTTTGATTTTAGTTTTGCAGTTTTTCTGATAGGAAACTTTGTAACCTATGTGTTTGATCGATAGGAAAATGACATTACATTGGCAAGAATCGAAGAACAGTTAGCTAAGGCAAGAGGCAAAATCCGCAATGCGATTGTTGAGAGGAGCTTTACATCGTCTCCTAAAGATAGGAGTTTATTCCCCAAACGAACCGTCTACAAGAACCCATTTGCCTTTTTTCAGTTAAGTGTTTAAATCATAGAATTTTCTTCATCTTTTTGGTCCGATTCCTTTAAGATACTGTTAATTTTCCAGCTTACAAAACCAAAAGTGAAGAAATGATTGCTTAAAGTAATTTTCTAGTTTTTTGTTGCAATTGTGCATTTTACTTCTGGTATAATGTTTCTTTTATTGCCCGTAAATTAATCCTAAGAGTTGATAATAGAGATGAAGCCATGAAGCTCTTAAAACCTTAAAATAAGTTTATTTTTTCTTTGAATGGTCTGGAAAACTGATTCCTTTTCAGAATACATTGCCAAACGGATCCTGAAATATAAAGCATTGGCACTATTACCCCTTTAGATTTCAACTTTTGGATTTTCTTGAACCATGATCAGGAGTCATACGGAGATGATGAAGACATTCAAGATATGGACTTATAAGGAAGGAGATGCCCCCTTGATGCATGATGGTCCAATGAAACTTGTATACAGTATCGAGGGTGATTTCATCGAGGAGATGGAGAGAGAAGGAAATCCGATAGTGGCTAACCATCCAGATGAAGCACATGCCTTCTTTATCCCTTTAAGTGTAACCAACATTGTTCACTACCTTTTTACGCCTGAGGAAGCCTGGGGTTTTCGTGAACGGATGCAAGCAATACTCGAAGACTACATTAAGGTGATTGCACAAAAGTATCCTTACTGGAACCGTAGCAATGGAGCTGATCACTTCTATGTATCATGTCATGATTGGGTATGTACATTTAACTATTAGTTACCTATTTTTTTCTTACTTAATTAACCTCATCATCATAGGTGCATTTTTCTTACTAGTCTACCATGTGTATGTATGTAGGGTCCATTTGTTTCAACAGGAAACCCTAAACTCTTTAAGAATTTCATAAGAGTGCTTTGCAATGCCAACAGCTCGGAAGGTTTCGATCCAAGTCGTGATGTGTCAATGACAGAAAGTACAGCGCCGTTCAACAATATCCCAGTCATAAGTAGTGGCCATTCACCTTATAATCGTTCAATCTTCGCATTCTTTGCGGGTGGTATACATGGGGATGTAAGAAAACGTTTGTTCGAACATTGGGGAAACAATGAAGATAAAGACATTCAAGTTTACAATTACCTTCCAAAAGGAGAAAACCACACCGAATGGTTGACAAAAAGTAAGTATTGCTTATGTCCTAGCGGTTATGAAGTTGCAAGCAGTAGGTTAACGGAAGCAATCTATGTGGGATGTGTTCCAGTAATCATCAAGAAGAATTACGTTATACCATATAATGATGTGTTGGATTGGAGTCAGTTTTCAGTACAAGTGCCTGTAGACGATATTCCAAATCTCAAAAAGATTTTGCAAGCGATACCTTTTTCCAAGTATTTAGAAATGCAAAAAAGGTTAATCGAAGTGCAAAGACATTTTGCAGTTAACATTCCAGCTAAACCTTTTGATGTCTTGCACATGATTTTTCATTCTGTGTGGCTTAGAAGACTTAATGTTCGATTGTTGAAATCTTGACCACAACTAATCTTATTGTAATATTTTTTTTAGAACTGCGTGTAATATTTTAGTGTATATCGTGAATGACAATGCATGTATTTTCCGTATTAAAATGACAAAATTGCAAGAATGGTGTATGCGGTATGCAAAAACTTGTATGTTTCAACCAAAAATGTTTGGACCAGCATCATTGGTCCAAAAGTTTTATTTTGTTGCTACTTTAGTTCAATTTGATTTGAACTTTTTTGTAAAAACGTTTTTATCTCTTATTATTTAATTTTTCATTCTTGTTTTATTACCAACAATTAAAAATAACACAAAAATAAAATACATCTCTCTCTCTCTCTCTCTCTCTCTCTCTCTCTCTCTCTCTCTCTCTCTCTCTCTCTCTCTCTCTCTCTCTCTCTCTCCAGGTTTGTGTTTGATAAACATCCAAGAACATCTTCATAGATTCAAGAACATTAAAGAACATCTTCCGCTATACCACCGTTCGACCACTCTCCGTCACCACCTCCATCTCCACCTAAACTTTTTTCTGACACTTCATCTCCACCAAGAAATCATCCTAGAAACAAAATCAAATATGATGAACACACACACACAAATCAGATGAACACACACACACACATACACACACATAAAATCTAATGAACACACCCTAACCAAACCAGGACCTCTCGATGAACATATCTGAAGAAAATCCAACAACAAAAAGAAGCTCGAACGAAAAAGAAGCAAAAAGGCAACGATACAAGAGGAGAAGGAGAGAGACGATGTCACCAGAAAAGGAGATACATCGCTGACTACCCCTCCATCTGTCTACATCTCTCTCCTTTTCTTGTTGTCTTCATTCTCGTTTCCTGAAAGCCTAATATCATTGCCCTTCCCGTTTCAAGATCTATAAGAATGAGTCTAGATTATGGTTTCATTTTGGTTTCAAGATTTGACACCCTATCTGTGACAACCCGAAATTCATTCCGTTGTTGTAACCCGATACGTCATTTAAAAAAAAATCGTCGTCTTAAATTGTTTCCGTTCGTTTCTAAATTAAGTCATTTATTTTAAGTTTGTTATTATGACTTAATAATTGTCCAAATATGTTAGAAATCAATGGAAATGCTTCAATTTATTAATTTGAAAAATAATTGTTTTATTCCATCAAGTTATAAAAATAATTAAATCGGGTACGACCAAAAGCCTCACTTGACGACAGTATCGGGTAGAATTTCATCGTGTCCCAAACTTTCAGCATATATAAAGTTGAGAGAGCCTCATTTGAAGCTTTTTCCACTCTCTCTCTACTTTCTTTCTCTACTCTCTCTCTCTCTCTCTCTAAAATCCGATTTTGAGCCAAAAACACCCAAATCAAGCTTCATAACATCAAGGTAATTATCCTAGCTTCTAGTTTAACACCTTTGGCCTTCAAATTCAAGATTTTTATGAGGATTAGGACCATTAGCATGAGTTTACGGTCCTAGAGCATCCCTAGGCTGTGAACTCATGTAAATGGGGTTTTTGTGCCATAAAACCCTTCCAAACCTCATTTTGAGCCTAGATATGACTTAAAGACCTAGTTGCATGTACTTAGAAAACATTAAACTCATTAATTAGAGTATAAACATGAGTTTACGGCCCAAGCACATGCTTGGACCATAAACACCCATTCATGGGGAGTAAACTCATTTTTAGGTGTTAGTTTGCCCCTAAACACCTCCAATGAGCTTCCATGAGAGTATAGAACCTTATAACCTTTCAAGAAATGCTCCAAAACTCACACAAATGGGATAAGCTTGAGTTTACGGCCCAAGAACATTCTTGGACCGTAAACTCATCTTCTTAGACCTTAAACTCATTTTTTATGTGTTAAGATGCCACTTAAACACACCATGAGCCTTAGAAATGAGTCTAGAAGCAACCACAATCAAGTTAAGGACCTTAAATCATGCCAAAACCACCTTCATGGATGTTTACGGCTGTAAACCTCCCAAGAAAATCTTCTTAGGCCATAAACTCCATTAGATGGTCCAAAAATGAGTTTAATCCATTCCTAAGCCCTAGATTTCATCCTAGCCAATTTCCCAAGTGTTATAAGACCATTTGACACCATAGAACACCCCACCATGAGTTTACGGTCGTAAACTCATGGGGAATGGGTCATTAGGGCCGTAAACCCTCTTATGAGTTTACTCTTGAGGAGTAAACTCCATATCCAAGCCTTATACATCCTTAGATGTCACCCAGGTCACTCCAAACACTTG